CACTGGCTATTTTCTGTTCCCGCTCCCATAGGATTTTATGAGCGAACAAACAAACAAACAAGGAAAATAATGTTTCAATCACACGTTAACATGAATCAGAGTAATTAATTCCATCATTAGAAGTTATTTCTGCTCTGAGGTTTACATCTGTCACAAAATTTTATACAATTATAAGGCTAGCTATACAGGGGGGCATTGTGTTAACGTATTAAAAATATAGTTGTGAACGGTCACTTGTGGTCCAATGGGGTGGGTCCAAATATGACTCAGTTCTGTATCGCCTGCCCCATTCCACCGGGCCTGGGGTTTTGCACTTTTTATGTCCTTGTAGAACTCCAGAATGACTATGTATCCCTCCCAGTACCAATAACACAATATTTGCCTACCTCTGGTCTTGAGGGGATTAATTGACACAAGGTAATAAATGTTACACTTACAGATATTTTGATGTAAAATCTTTATACACCATATTAATATAGGGGCACTCTGTAGTGGTTATGGTGCTGTGACTCACTAGGCAACATCACATGATAAGTAGTCAAAACATTTTTCTAAAGGTTTGGAATTTACCTGGATTTCCAGGGTGCTCACGGCCCAATCCCTCTTCAGATAAAATGGCCAAAAGTAGGGTATTACTAATAACAATTTCTACAACCAGATTGTAGTGAATTGAATGAAAACCAATCGTAGAATTTAGCCATGCCGCCATTTTGTCCTAAACGGTTTAGCTGGATATTTTTTCCTAATTTGGCACATTTTACAATATGTTTTTCAGTTTATTACAATTAACTTTTTAGTGAATAAACCCTGTAATGATTCTTTCATTCACTCTGCTTTTCGTGACATTTATGGATTTTCTTTTCTTATTCCCATATTACAGGAGGTCTGCTGTATGCTGTATGCAAGCATATCAGTTTTCTGTATAAAATAAAACATATTCTGTAGGTAAAAGATCAAAGGACGAAAGTGACGAAAACATGACGTGAGAGAATGGATTAGCCTTGAAGATGTGGCAAGGCCACCCGTGGCCTTCCTTCCACTGTGGGAGCTGTGATTGGACTAGCAGTTCTACAAGGCACATAAACATCACAGGAGCCTGAATCAAATGAAGTTTTATTTATAACATGCATGTAATGATGAGAAGATGGGATTAAACATGTGTCTGGTATATTTCATGGAGCAAATTCTAAAGAAATAATGTAACAACTCTACATGCCAAACCATAAATAAGGCTACATACAGTGCTCTCCTATATGTTCTGTCCCAAGTAGTTCACTGTCACATTCCCACTCATTAATAATATGCATTTTTTTAATAGGCTCTTTTTTTTTTGTAACTGAGTTCAAATCCGCTGGGATGGAGAGGCAGGCTTTCATTAGCAAAAAGATTGGGAGTGCAGCTTTCTGTTGCCATGGAAACAGACCGGAGTGAAGGCGAATGACTGGGCAGGAGATGGAGAGGTACCACAGAGCTGGGGGAACAGGCAAGAAAAGGGGGACATGGGGGAAACACAGAGGGAGTGCAGGGGGGGTTTGTGAGCAGGCAGAAGGTAATCAGGGAGTGGGGGTGAGATCACATGGATTAATCTTTAGTGTTTAAGGATGGGGAGAGGGAATAAATGATTTGGGGCGAGGGCAATGCAGAAAGAATTAAAACCTTCACCGCAAGATTATTGGAGTACGCCAGGTGTGTGTATAGATGTACCCAACGCAGGGCTAAATTGTCCTCCCCGTCCCTACTTGCATTTGGGTTAAGGTCAATTTTTGGTTAAAGATGATAAATCTAATGTATCTTTGTAAATGATTATTAATAGATGGAAAATATATATATATATTTTTTTTATTATAATCATTCAGCTGGTAATTTTAAAAAAAATAAAAGTTTAGCTACATTATACTTTTGACGATTCTAAAAATAATTTTCTGTAGTTTTTAATACGTAAAGGCCATGTTAAAGTGCAAATAAGTCAATATTACTATGGTAAGCTGAACAAATAGCAGTAACCTTATAGGTGCCAAGACTCCAAAAAAAGTAATAATATAAAACTAAATGTATAAGGTGCGCCGTGCCTTTAAAAGTACACACTCCAAAAGTGTTACTTTAAAAAAAAAATACTATGAGAACGCGTTCGCACACAAAATAGAAAATGCACTTACAATATCTTGAAATAAATTTCACAGCAGCATATATTATATAGAGAGAGAAAATAGCAAACATGGCAGAAAAATTTTTAACGAGTGAAAAGTGAGAAAGAGGAAATATGGTCACTCTCAAACACAGAGTACTGTTCAAAACATTCAGGCTCAATTAGGAGGCACTTCCTGGCAATGATGAGGTACAGGCATCAAATTCACATGAGCGTTGAGCAGGTGAGTAAAAAAAACTTTATTCTAACAGCACAAAGACACAAACTCTAAAGAAATTAAATTGATCAATTTGATGCACACATTGGAACCACAGGGTTTAAAGGGACTCTATAGTCATCAGAACAACTACAGCTTATTGTATTTGTTCTGGTGAGTAGAATCATTCCCTTCAGGCTTTTTGCTGTAAACACTGTCTTTTCAGAGAAAATGCACTGTTTACATTACAGCCTAGGGACACCTCCAGTGTGACTGCCATTCAGTGTCTCCACCCTCTGCATGGAGACACTGAACTTCCTCATAGAGATGCACTGATGCAATTCATCTCTATGAAGAGATGCTGATTGGCCAGGGCTGTGTTTGGTTTGTGCTGGCTCTGCCCCGATCTGCCTCCTTGACAGTCTCAGGCAATCCTATGGGAAAGCATTGTGATTGGCTGAGAGAATCACTTCTGAAGGGGCAGAGCAAGCAGCAGCAGACTGGAGTTAAGGTAAGATTTTGCTACATTTTTGAGGGCAGGGGGGCAAGCTGACTTGTCAGCGGAATACGTCATCACTCACGGAAGCTGTAACTACATTCCCCGGAGTCGATATCGCATGTAGAAGGTGTTCAGTGAGAGGCGTTGGCTTTGAGTTTACTTTACATGTTTATGTACATCCTGTTTGTCCAAGGTTTATGATTTGGGGCTGTCCAAGTTTATGCCTTTAAATCATTGTCAGCATTAAAAGGTCCGATTCACACGAAAGAACTTTGAATGTGAGTTAATTTTGCTCAGTTAGATTGTTTTACTGTACTTGCAAAAGTATTGTGAGTTATTATCACTGTAATATTGTTACTTGGTGGTATCTAAGACATTCAATTATATTTATACAGTAATAATACAGTAATACTATCTCGCCCGCAAAATCTAACAAAGAAAAATGAACTTGTGGATTGACGGAATTGTTTTGTAGAGACGGACTAGCAGCACTGTAAACTGGCATATCTAATTGCACTGAGAGTTTAAAGGCTTTTATGCTAGAAATTCTTTTACTCTGCGGCTGTTAAGTTACAATCTTATTTCTCGCAGCAGGTTAGACTAGTAGTGATGTCCCGAACGGTTCGCGAACGGTTCGCCACGAACGGTTCGCCACGGACTCATCATTGAGTAAACTATGACCCTGTACCTCACAGTCAGCAGACACATTCCAGCCAATCAGCAGCAGACCCTCCCTCCCAGACCCTCCCACCTCCTGGACAGCATCCATTTTACATTCATTGTGAAGCTGCATTCTTAGTGAGCTGTCCAGGAGGTGGGAGGGTCTGCTGCTGATTGGCTGGAATGTGTCTGCTGACTGTGAGGTACGGGGTCAAAGTTTACTCAATGATGAGTCCGTGGCGAACCGTTTGTTGCGAACCGTTCGTTGCGAACCGTTCGTTGCGAACCGTTCGGGACATCACTATAGACAAGTAAACTGGACAAAAATAGACTACTAAATCTCACAGGTCTTTCGTCAGGGGGGAAAAAATGCACATATATATATTAATTTTAAAATCCAAAATTGCTTCCAAAATGTAAATCAAAACATATAAAAAAAAATACGGAACTGCTGAAACTTGTGATAGAAAATATCAGTGACATTTTGTGGAGGCAGCCATGATGGGTGGAAATGTAACCGCCTACTTCCCCTTCATGGCTGTAAGTTACACAATACAGAGAATATGCACGCTGTGGACATAAATCACGGTTGGTCTTGGTTTAATTTCTGGTCTGGTAAGTAAAGAAAGAGCAAATGTCTAAATATAGTTTATTAGAAACACCAACAAGTACAGGCTGTCATATAGGTGCATTAGACAACATTTTATCTATTTTTTCCCCTATAATTTTGGTTAATAGTAATCACAGAAAATACTACAATGTTTTATGGCCCCGTTGTTATGGCATTTAAGTATATTTTTAAATAAATCTAATGTGTGAATACTGTATTCCTTAGTTTGCTTGCAATTAAGTCTATCACATGTTCTGGGACCCTAAATCTTTTTTTATGACCTTTAATACCTAGAGCTGCCGCAGTTTGACGCTGCCAATAGATGTTGAATAAAATTGATTAATATTGTCTGGCGGCTGCCATTGATTTCACCTCTATTGCACAGTGATGTAAATTGCAATTTGTAGGTAGTTAATGTCACGCTCATTAAAATATATAAATTTTAAGTCCTACAGTTCGTGTGTTATGAAGCTATCGAACAAGGCAATGATTAGGTAGGCAGATTTAACAATAAAACATTTACAAAAAGTCAATAATAAAAAATATATATACTTTTTTAGAACCCCCCAAAAAATAAAAGGAAAGAAAATTTTACGAAACAAGCATGTTTAACAAGCTTTTAAGAGAATTCTAGGCCTGTCCCTTTTACCAATCCCAAACCAGAAGGCCATACATTCCAGTACATAGGTCATCCCCGGGAAAACCGATCCCTTTATATGGATTTATAGGATCAGTAAGTTTGCTGCAGGCCATTCTTTCTTCAAAAGGGTTAAGGAGAGCTTACATCTATCACCATCACAATGAATGTCCCAAGGGGATTAATTAAGCTCTCGTTAACTGCCTTGACACAGCAGGTGTTTTTATAACTGGCTTCACCCACAGTAAATAGGTTAGGAAGGGAGTATCTACTTCCCCGTAGAGATCGGCACCTTTCCTGAACATTAAACGCATTTCCTTTAGTCTCACTGTGTAATCCCTTTTATTATAGTACAAAATGATATAAAATGTAGATATAATCAAATTAATTGCATAAAAAGTAGACCATGCAGCATTGCACGTATTGCTATAGTACTCGGTGGCTCTCTGTGGGATTCTGTACCACGGTCGCGGCGTTGGCCCTGTTTACCTGTTGGACGTTCGCTTGATAATACAGCAACAAGTAAGTCAGCCTCTTTCACGAGCATTCTAAAAGACATTATTGGGAAAGGATACGGAAGGATGTGACACTGGTTAAGACCATTTACTAATTTTCTATATAATGGATTAGATTTACATTTATACATTACATTATGTTGTAGGGGATGCCGGGGTAGGTGTTAAAGAACACTACACAGATTTAAACATACAGCTTCCTATGCAATCGATAGAGTCAAACTCCTTGGGTGAAAAGGTAGAAGTAACTCCTCCTCAGTGTCCACCCGACCATCATTACTGATTGTCATCATTTCATGGAGATTCAAAAGCTAATTTTGACCTAAAACATTAAATCACTCACGGATACACATATGTAAGATTATCGGTGTGCATAACTGTTAACATCATAAGTTGGTTTTCAAATAAATGAAAACAATAAATATTGTTTGTGCAGTATTAGTGCATATGGGTGTTTCTGTGTGTGAAACCTATGTAAACACATGTGAATGTCTTGGTGTACTGTCATTGTCTGAACAATGACATATGTGTTGGAGCTAATGTGTGTGCACTGTCAGTAAATGTATGCCAGTGCTGCTTTATGTGCACATTTGTGTGCATGTCCATGTACTGCGTGTGTGGTTTTTGCACTGTCTTTATGTGGGTGCAATTTTTGTATGTGTATCTATATTGTTTTTACGCTATGTGTGTGCATTGTAAGGGCAAACAGAATTTGGTCACAATATCTTTAAAGGCCCACCAAACCCAACCAGACTAATAGGGAGTTGATGTGTTGATGAGACGTCCTTGGATAATATTCATAATGTAAATACTGTTCCGGTAATGTAACACTATTAAGTATAGAAATAAATTGACTAGACACAGTCAAATAACCTAGAGATGATGCACAAATCTATTTGAGATTATTTGCTAAAGATATATATCACACTACATAAACCATCAGGGATTTATTTGAAAACAAATGCCTCTCAGATATAATAAATTATTTTAATTGGCTGTGTTAAACTGATATTAGAGTAAATAATAAACAAAATGGATCTGTACACTTAATAAAAGTCACATAAAATCAAGGACATAAAGCGTTGGTCTAGATGATGAGTTTCACATTTGTTCATGGTTTAGCAGTTGAACATTTTCTGGACTCATGATAACAAACATTGTTCTTTAACCGCTAAATTACAAAATAGTTATTTTGTTGTTGTTTTTTTAAATGGTTTTTAAGATTCACCACTTTAGTAAATAATTTCAACTATTCTTTTTGTTTGCACGTCGTTGCGTACAATGTCTCTCTATTCGGCCATTTTTGTTGTGCATGTTATAACAAAAGAACTTGCACAGCCACAACAGCATGGGCAAGTACAATAATGACAGTAGAGAAAGACATCATCATGGCATATGTAAAACAGCACAAATTTTTAAAAGAAACTAATAGGTTACGATAGGTAATTGCGCAAATACAAGACATGCCTACCCACTGGGTATGTTAATGGTTCAGACAGTGTGCTATACCCAGGGGCCCAGCTCAGTAACATGTTAGGCCTACACATTATTCATCGTATAGAGTAGTGAGAGCTATACAGTCCTGTATAGCAGCCTCAGGTCAGAGGTGTTCATGCACAGATTAGGTCAAACATCAGAGTTTAGTATGTGCTAAAACAGTTGCTTTACTGGGTATGTGTCTATGGTTCAATGTAGAACTGACTGTATAATTAAACAAATATAAATAATAGATAAACAATGTTTAAGCCATGCATGTAGTTTTAACTGTGTCAGTTAACGCATGTAGTCATTGCTAGTCAAGTAATTAGGCTAGTGCAGTGTAGCTTTTCGTACATACTGTTGTGTTTGAGCCCTCGAACGTCCCTTCACAGGTAGCCCTTCATGTGCAACTAGGTACTTAAAAACGTGCCTGCAAAAAGAGCTAAATTAATGTACTGGGCAAGCACAAAGTCACATAAGCTGGATCCTCAGTAGGAGGCACCTCTGTTTTCCGCTGGCTGTGAAGTGTTGTCCGACGGTCAGAGGAGCGGGTCAGGAAGCTGGTATGTTCATGGCGGTGGGTCTTGCTTATGACTGGCAGTGGTGTATCAGTCCTGAACTTGGTTTGGAGTGTTCACCCCACCCTTGTGCTTGGGAACAGGTAGGTGTATGCCTGAGGAGGGGCTGGATCGGCGTGCTTCATGGTGGCTCTCCCGCCCCAGGCCCTGCAAGGGGTCCGCTTTAAATGGCCACAGACTCAGGGGCTCTTGTCTGAGTCCGGGTCATTCCGGCGTGGGGTGTGCCAGAGGCCCCCGGTGTGCTTGCGCCTCACATGGCGGGGGGCTTTCTGTCGTGGTGGCCTGAGCGTGGGGTGTTACCCCTTGTTGGCCCTCAGCCCGGGTGGGCCCTGTCTGCTGGTGGTCATGGCTCATGGGTTGCGAGTGCCCAGAGGGCGTACCTGTGCAAGCCGCTCTTTACCCCTCTGGTGGCTCCCCCGGTTTTGTGCTCGTGTGGGTTTGATCCGAGCTTCAGGCTGTGCCCAGAAGCGGAGGAAGAGCTTGTTGAGCCATTGTTCCAAGCTTACATGTGGGGCTGTGATGGTTGGTGGTTCAGGTAAGTTCAGTCCTGTGTGGCCATCCGCCATTTTGTGGGAGCACATGGCGGTCCAGGCCCTCACCACCATGCCAGCTCGCTGGAGTCAAGGGTATGTGAGGCAGCCAGTGGGGACCGGGATAACCCCCGCTGGTCCAGAGGGGGGTTGGGGGGAGATGTCTGTACCCACAGCAGCCTGTGGCAGTGGGGCAGGGCAGCAGCCGTCTACCCCGTCCTCCGCTCAACGAGGCCGCGTTCCACGGGAGGCTGCTGGATCGGCCCGAGCTTTAGCTTGTCTGTTGTGGGGTCAGGCAGTGCTTTTCCCCCTTTTTCAGTCCATTTGTTGCACAATTAGTGTTTATTTTATCTGTTTTAGGCCACGGGAGTCAGGAGCTCAGGGAACCTGCGTCTGATCAGTTTGGCGGCTTAGCCCCGCCCCCCACACCTGCATTTTTAATTGTTACTTTGAAGTGGGATGGTGATCCACACACTTTCAAGGAGCTTTGATAGGTTTATGAAAAACAATAAAAAGGATTAAAGTACTTTTCTTTGAGAAGGTCCCCAGGAAGAAGTTTAGAATACAGTCCACCCATTTGGCACACAAATAGTCACAACTGTAATTTTATTACATGGCATGATATCTGCTGTTTCTCTGGACTTTCCTCACCATTTTTTTCCTCACTCCACCGACCATCAAGGTTTGCACCTATCGCCAGCGCCCATTTTATTTGCGAATTGCACATGGAGTGTTAGTTCAGAGCTCCGTCTTAAGGAGTTCTTCATTTCTCCTCCATTAAGTTTTAACAGTTTATCAAGGGTGAGCCCCTTCAATGTATATATTTTTATGACACTGGGCCTATGTTTGTTTTTTTGTGTGGGCGAGCCCCATATTTGTCTACCCACAGACACCCACATTGCTGGGTGAGCCACTGCTGCCCATATATACTTGGATGAGCTCCAAAATAACCTGCCATATATTCCAGTGCTTGTGTATACCCCACTACTAGTGGGTGCAACACTTTCATTTTAAATTTACTCCGGGTGAGCCCCAGTGCACAAATAATTATATAATTTTAAACTGGTTTTGTTAGTTTGCATACTGAGTACTAGTAATTGTACTGATTACCATGGATGACTCTCTGATGCATACCACAGGATTCTTAATGCCACTGTTGGCATTGGTTCAGAGGGCGTTGTCCAAAGTGTTGCCTCCTGCTTCTTCAATCAGGTCACCAACTGCCCCTAATCCCCAACAAGAGAAAGGTCTTCTGACGACTCTGCAAAGTCAGATCGCTCCATTCAGATCTCCGAGTAGCTGGCAAATAAGCATTGGAAGAGTGTGCTTAGCAGATCCGGTAAATTTAAAGTCAAAGCTCCAGCTAAGTATGCAAAAGTTAACTCCACCCCTAAGGTTTAAAGGTTCATGTACGCTCATCAGATAAGGAATATTCATGTCGCCTACAATAGAGATGGTTGATTAATGTCAGACGGACCAATTTGGATCAGATCAGGAGGAGGATTATTTCACTAAACAAAATTCAGGCACCAAATATGACCACAAAAATTTAGTGGGAGATTCTCAGTTAGTTTATGTTCCTGTTAACACATTTTAAAATATTTGGCTCCAGAAATCTCTAAATTTCTCACCTTGCCTGGTAAGGTGGCATTGGCGCCTGATTTCAATTAGCCTATCATCATGTTCATGGCACATTCCATTGCCATGAACGTGATAGGTTTAAAACTGGCACAAGATAAGTTTCTTAATACCACTGGCCCTATGGCACAAATATGTTCATGGCTGACAAGGCCTATGCCAAAGGTGCAGCCTTTGACCGCAATGCTATCAGAGAATGGGCACCAAGATGTATATGTCTCATTGGCAATGTTAATGTGGCACTCTCCTGCAAAAGGCCATCTTATTATCTACTGATGCTAAGTTGGCTGAATTAAGTACAAGGAAACTTGTCCATAAGGAAAGAGGCATGCTTTTTGGCGATGAACTTCTAAAAGAATTGCAGAAACATGTGAACATATTTTCATCACTCAACAAGTTTAGACGTTACTGAGAAAGATCTGTCGACCACAAAAAAGTAGTGTTTTTTTCAGGGCTGGTCAGCAACGGGGTCCTGCCACCAGCCGACTTTGGTTTACAGACCCTTGGTCATACTAACCACTGCCTGACACTCCATCTGATCAATGCTGAAATGCAGGAACTTCACAAAGAGGCGATACAACCTGCTCATGATCATGCAGCTGCATGTTCTGTTGCCGTGCATAGCCAATAATTCCTATGCTTCCTTTGGAAGGGCCATTAATGGTAGGTCACCTGCCTCCCTTTTGGTGTCGACCCCATGGTGCTTCACCAAATTATTTAAGCCGCTGATAGCATCAGACATACAGATTTTCTGTTTCAAGTCTTCTCACCTTTGACATGAGACTCTGTATGTAATTAATCTCTTTGAAATGTTGCTCCAGGCCAGGATGTCCAATTCTTAAGATTCGAGATTGATGAAAATGTGCACCTTCTGGAGTTACTACTATCAAAGGTCAGAGCAATCCGGAAGGAACGTCGACAGATCCTACAACTGGAAATTATTCTTCTGTGTTTGTTGTCTCATGTCATAGGTCTTCTTTTCGCCTCTATACAGGTGATATTTCCATGTTCATTACACTAATTAGCGATGCCACATCTCAAGGCCAAATTACTAAGGACCTCTCTATCTTGCAATCAATTGCTTCCTCTTACCCTAGATGTTTGTGGAGAACTTCTTTTGTGGCTAAGAAACATTCAGGTCTGGAATGGCTGAGCAATTTTCAGACCCGTCCAAGACTTTCTTATAGAGTTGGACACCAGTCTGCGGGGTTGGGGTGCAACATGCGCAAATCAACCTGTGGGAGGAGTGTGGCCCTGGAGGAATTGTCCATCCATATCAATTATCTGGAATTCATTGCGGGGCTCATTGCCATAAGCAGTCTGGTCAGGCATTATAGACTGTTGTGTTCCATTATGAATACGCTGTACGTTCTATAAACAATCACAATTATCACAATTACTTGCAATAACTGGCCTGAGAGTATCCACTAACACATAGAATAATTTTATTTTCAGAATTTTTTCCCCCAATATCTTTATTCAACACAGTCGGCACAGACATTTTCCAGATTTTACATTAATTTTCTTTGCATATTTTGCATGTTTTGCATTTTTTTTTTTTAAAGAGGCGGTTAACCTTCATCCTAGATTGCTCCTTTAAGGCTATACAATACAGAAATGTTTTTATGCTTGTCCCAATTCACAGCCATTATATAAAACCACTGCTTCCTACTTTACAACGAGTCTCTCCCCTGGAGGACAAAATGCTTACGGCAAAAGGACACTGGTCTGCACATCAGCTTGCTACATGGAAAGAGCCTGAAGCTGGCCTGGGGTGATGTTTAGTACCATTGATAGGCTACAAATATAAACATGCAATATCTTATTCAATGGGAGACACACGGGGCTGACCTAAAAATAGTAGAAAGTTAATGATTTTAAAAGATTTTAAAAGATTCTCGCAATATATGTAATTGTGTCTTGGAGCCCAGGATTTGAAGATAATTCGAAGACTTGTTTGTTCATCTTGGGGGTTGAATCTCTGAACAGCCAGCAGTAGAGACTAATAACGTTGGAAGATGGAAAAGTCACCTGCAAGATGGAGTTGTTACCACTGCTATGCATAAAATCTATATAATACATTACAAAAATTGGTGGCAAATCTGGCCCGTTGTAGACATTTAAACCACTCTAGTAATATTTTACATGTTAAGGCAGGGTTGTCCACATGGTTTTGTTATTTGTGACGTTAGTTATCCCTTATATTATATCACTATGTTATCTATAAATTATATGTATGGTCAATATGACAAGGTCCTGTATAGAGGTGATTCAGGAACTGGACCTTCTCCGTGGTCTAGCATGGAGGGGGAAACAACTGAGAAGGTGTGAATAAAGAGGGTTAGGGAATGATGGAAGGATCAGGTGGTAAAGGGGCTATAAGTTTTGAAAGGTTAAAGCTGATGAAGTGAAGGTAATAGATTAAGGGGATGAAAGGAACAAGGAAATTAAGTGGGCAAAATATATAGCGATCAAGAGAAAGAGAAGACATATTATTTGGTAGCAAAACCTCAATTTCCAACTTGGCAATTACAGATTAAAAAGAATCTCTTGGTGGTTACAATGTTTCAAAATGATGTTAAAGAGCAGGGTTCTGTTAGTTACCTTAGGTGATGAAAAAAATCTTGGCATCTAAATTGAACTACATTTCCATCTTTAAGATGGGTTAGAGCCAGTATGGTCACTGTCAAACGTAGTAAATCGAATCTAGTGATTCCAAATTATATATTTAAATTTATTTAAAGAGCATTCCAGGCAGCTAAATGTCAAATGTTAGGTCCAAAGTGTAGAAAAGGTTAGTTTAGTTAGCTATTATTTTCCTATTAATTTGCTTTAATAGTTTTAGTATTTAATAAAATTAGCTCCATGGCCCGAGCCTTCTTTGCCCCTACCTCCAACCTACAGAATTCTCATTTTTTCTTTAATAATCCAGGTCACATCACAGATAACTGGATAGTAAAGGATTATATCATAGTTCCGTTTTCAGCTTGCTACTGAAATCTGTCCACCCCACTTTTTGTTTTTTTAATACACTTTTGCATTTAAGGTCTGATAAAGGGGCTTGTACTGTTAGGATTGAATATACCAATAGACATGCATCATTTCTTGACCCAGCTATGCCAGTGGTATGGTCTTATAAACCATATTGTGCCTGCATAGCAAAGAAAATCTTCTGTCTTTTTGGAGACTGATTGTTGTCAGTTACGCTGTGTTTGAAAAACTGGTATGGCTGCACTAGTCCGTTATTCTTTTCCATTAGTATATTGCACTATGATGGACTCCTCGCCTCTTTTTGTGACTGATTTTTTTTTTTTTAAATACCAATTTAATGGTATAGCGGGTTTAAAAAAAAAAGTGTTAATCTTACAACATCTCAGCCATAAACCCTAAGCTGTGAAAAAATTAAATTAAACCACAAATCACTTCTGCGTTCCCGAGTTTAATCTGCGGATATGCTCAACAATGGGAGCTGTTAAAGTTGCCTTTGTTGCTCTTTTATACTTTAAGAAGCTATAATCTCCCATGCGATATCACGCTGTAAATAAGACACTGGTTTTTCAGTCGCACTCATTCACAGGTAAGAGAGAGATCACATTCGCAGCAGACGTACCATTGTTGGCTTGTATAGAAAATATTCACAAGATCTATTATTTAGTTTTATTTTGACATTACACACTAAATGTAAAAGCCTTAAATCAAATGCACTATTCTTAAAACTGTTCCCGTGATCCTTTGATCTGTCAGCTTCGCCTGCTTGGCTTTAGAGAAGCGAAGGGTGCTGTCATTATACAGTTCCTTTCTGTAGACTTGGATTTGAAAAAAATTGTAAAAAACTAATTATTGTCTTTACGATTTGTCATGCACTTGAAAGGTACATTGTTGCATCCTTCATCACAAGTTAACTCAATGGAGGAAGACTTGGATAAGGATCCGAAAGGGATCCTAGACATTACACATTCTTAGCATGGACTTAATTAAACCCATAAACCAGCATTTGACCAGGGAATTGCAAGCCCAGCCATAAAAAAGAGGAGTGCAGAATTATTCGGCTATATTGGCCTAAATATTTTAATTCCATCCAAGTATTTACCATACGGAGATGGTATCTAAATTACATGGTTAAAGGCAGTCAGCTTTGGAAATGACAAACAAGTAACAACTTGAGACAAATCTTTGCTTCTTCCAGTACTGGATTTCATACAAAGGAAAAGTGCTGGCTAAAAGACAGTAGGAGATAACTGTCCAGAGGTCAGATAGACTAATATGGGGGGAGAAAGGGGAGGCTGTCCGTGGTACTGATAGGATGTTATACAGTGGGAGGAGGCTGTCCGTGGTACTGATAGGATGTAATACAGTGGGAGGTGGCTGTCCGTGGTACTGATAGGATGTAATACAGTGGGAGGTGGCTGTCCGTGGTACTGATAGGATGTTATACAGTGGGAGGTGGCTGTCCGTGGTACTGATAGGATGTTATACAGTGGGAGGAGGCTGTCCATGGTACTGATAGGATGTTATACAGTGGGAGGTGGCTGTCCGTGGTACTGATAGGATGCAATACAGTGGGAGGTGGCTGTCCGTGGTACTGATAGGATGTAATACAGTGGGAGGAGGCTGTCCGTGGTACTGATAGGATGTAATACAGTGGGAGGTGGCTGTCCGTGGTACTGATAGGATGTAATACAGTGGGAGGTGGCTGTCCGTGGTACTGATAGGATGTAATACAGTGGGAGGTGGCTGTCCGTGGTACTGATAGGATGTAATACAGTGGGAGGTGGCTGTCGTGGTACTGATAGAATACAGTGGGAGGTGGCTGTGGTGATAGGATGTAATACAGTGGGAGGGAGGCTGTCCGTGGTACTGATAGGATGTAATACAGTGGGAGGAGGCTGTCCGTGGTACCAGTGGGAGGTGGCTGTCCTGGTACTGATAGGATGAAATACAGTGGGAGGTGGCTGTCCGTGGTACTGATAGGATGTAATACAGTGGGAGGAGGCTGTCCGTGGTACTGATAGGATGTAATACAGTGGGAGGAGGCTGTCCGTGGTACTGATAGGATGTAATACAGTGGGAGGAGGCTGTCCGTGGTACTGATAGGATGTAATACAGTGGGAGGAGGCTGTCCGTGGTACTGATAGGATGTAATACAGTGGGAGGTGGCTGTCCGTGGTACTGATAGGATGTAATACAGTGGGAGGTGGCTGTCCGTGGTACTGATAGGATGTAATACAGTGGGAGGAGGCTGTCCGTGGTACTGATAGGATGTAATACAGTGGGAGGTGGCTGTCCGTGGTACTGATAGGATGTAATACAGTGGGAGGTGGCTGTCCGTGGTACTGATAGGATGTAATACAGTGGGAGGTGGCTGTCCGTGGTACTGATAGGATGTAATACAGTGGGAGGAGGCTGTCCATGGTACTGATAGGATGTAATACAGTGGGAGGAGGCTGTCCGTGGTACTGATAGGATGTAATACAGTGGGAGGAGGCTGTCCGTGGTACTGATAGGATGTAATACAGTGGGAGGAGGCTGTCCGTGGTACTGATAGGATGTAATACAGTGGGAGGTGGCTGTCCGTGGTACTGATAGGATGTAATACAGTGGGAGGTGGCTGTCCGTGGTACTGATAGGATGTAATACAGTGGGAGGTGGCTGTCCGTGGTACTGATAGGATGTAATACAGTGGGAGGTGGCTGTCCGTGGTACTGATAGGATGTAATACAGTGGGAGGAGGCTGTCCGTGGTACTGATAGGATGTAATACAGTGGGAGGTGGCTGTCCGTGGTACTGATAGGATGTAATACAGTGGGAGGTGGCTGTCCGTGGTACTGATAGGATGTAATACAGTGGGAGGTGGCTGTCCGTGGTACTGATAGGATGTAATACAGTGGGAGGTGGCTGTCCGTGGTACTGATAGGATGTAATACAGTGGGAGGTGGCTGTCCGTGGTACTGATAGGATGTAATATCTGTGGAGCTGGCCATGGTACTGATAGGATGTAATAGGAGGGGAGCTGGCCATGGTATTGAAAGGATGTAATAGGAGGGGAGCTGGCCATGGTATTGAAAGGATGTAATAGGAGGGGAGCTGGCCATGGTACTGATAGGATATGATACAGTGAGGGGAAGTTGGCCATGGTATTTATAGGATGTAATACTAGTGGAGCTGGCCATGGTACTGATAGGATATAATACGATGGTGCTGGCCATGGTATTTATAGGATATAACATGAAGGGAGTTGGCCATGGTATTTATAGAATGCAATATGAGGGGAGTTAGCCATGGTACTGATAGGATGTAATACTAGTGGAGCTGGCCATGGTACTGATAGGATATAACATGAGGGGTGCTGGCCATGGTTCTGATAGGATGTAATATGAGGGGAGTTGGCCATGGTATTTATAGGATGTAAAATGAGGGGAGTTAGCCATGGTACTGGTAGGATGTAATATGAGGGTGAGGGGGCGGGGGGCGGGGGTGGGAGGGGCAGGCCATGGTGCTGATACTATGTAATATGAGGAAGCTGGCCATGGTGCTGATAGGCTACAATACAGTGGGGGAAGCTGGCCATAGTACTGAAAGGCTGTAATGGGGGGTGGGGGGCTGGCCATGGTACTGATAGGCTGTAATATGGGGAAGCTGGCCATGGTGCTGATATGATGTAATACAGTGGGGGGGAGCTGGCCATAGTACTGAAAGGCTTTAATGAGGGGTGGGGGGCTGGTCATGGTACTGATAGGCTGTAATACAGTTGGGGGCTGGCCATGGGGGGGAGCTGTAGTGAGGGAGAGCTGGCCATGGTACTGATATCCTGTAATACAGTAGGGGGAAGCTGAACATGGTACTGATAGGCTGTAATACAGTGAGGGGAGCTGGCCATGGCACTGATAGGCTGTAATACAGTGAGGGGAGCTGACCATGGCACTGATAGGCTGTAATACAGTGGGAGGAAGCTGGCCATGGTACTGATAGACTCTAATGGGGGGGGGGGTGACCATGGTACTTATAGGCTGTAATACAGTGAGGGGAGCTGGCCATGGCACTGATAGGCTGTAATACAGTGGGAGGAAGCTGGCTATAGTACTGATATGCTGTAATATAGTGAGGGGAAGTTGGTCATGGTACTGAGAGGCTGTAACACAGTTGGGGGCTGGCCATGGGGGTGCTGTAGTGGGGAGGGGTGCTGGCCATAGTACTGGTAAGCTGTAATACAGTGAGGAGGAAGCTGGTCATGGTGCTGGTAAGCTGTAATACAGTGAGGAGGAAGCTGGTCATGGTGCTGGTAGGCTGTAATACAGTGGGGGAATGGCCATGGCGGGGGAGGCTGTAGTCATCATATCAGAAATGAGAATGCAGAGGCATAATCTATATTAAAACTGCTTCATTAAGCCAAAGTTGTTTTGGTGCTTAGAATGTCCTTTAAAACATTACAGGGCTTCACCCAGAACTCTTTCTGAGAAGCTTCCTGCTTTGCAAATGAAGTAGTTAAGGCAGGGAAGTGGCACTCAGCAGACCCAGTAAGAAATCAAACCATACTTAAAATGGTTTGATAACTGACAATGTGGAGCACCAGGGCCCTCCAGCATGCTATAGTGGTTAGGGGGCTGTAATAATATTTTAAAATAAGAATATAATGAAATGATGGTGGACAAATGCCAAAATTGTCACTTGAACACTATATTTTAATATAAATAGAACCTATGTTAAATATGGAAAAAACATTTTTATATAGTGCTTTTCTTCATAAAGGGGGTCATATTGCACTAGTGCATTTTTTCCAATTCTAAACAAATCAACAGGTGATATTAACTTTTTTTTTTTTACCTCCACATTGTTTTGTTTAACTGGCCATTAAACGTTTTAGTTTACTAATCATATATTTTATCTTTCAGACTGAATGGATCTCAGAATCTTGCGTTTAGTGTTTCTTCTGTCACTAGCAGATCTGGGACGACCAGTGAGCATTGACTCGGACACCTCGTGCCCCGTAGGATGCAATTGCAACTTACTTTCTATTCATTGCTGCAGATCTGATCAATATTTACAAATTCCAGTCATCGGTGCTGACAATATCACCAAATTACAATTGACTAGCTGTCCAAGTTTTGAACTTTCAAGTCAAAGCTTGCGGAATTTCCCCTTTCTGGAAGAACTGATCGTTAAAAGTACCCCAATCACCTACATCAATGCCAATGCATTTGCTAACTTTCCCAGATTGAAAAGTTTGTTTCTAAATGGGTTGAATCTCAGTACTAACACCATTCACCCATCTGCATTCAATAATCTTTCAATTCAGGAACTGAACTTAAGTAACAACAACTTGATAATTATTCAACATCAAATGTTTAGCGGTCTTCAAAATCTTAGGGTGTTGGATCTTTCAGTGAACAAGATCGGTATCATTCAGGACCAGGCATTTGAAAGTCTACAACAGCTGTCTGTGCTTAACCTGGAAAATAATAAGTTAAAAACGGTCACCCCCAACTGGTTCAAAGCACTTAGCCATTATTCCTCTTTAGAAATCAGTGTCAAGGGCAATAACCTAACCAAAGAGTGTAATTACAGGGGAATGGAACTAGCAGACAACCAGTGGTTTACAAAGTCCATAAAACCTAATGATTCATTAACAGAGGCAGATATAAAACTCCCGGCCTGCTCCATACCAATAATCAATAATAACTACCAAAATATATACATAAAGGAATTGTCCTCAGTAATAATATACTGCTCCGCAAATGGAATACCAAAGCCTACTTCGACTTGGTTACTTCCTAATGGTTTAGATGTTATGTCAGGATACCCTTCTTTCTCAGCAGACTATGGAAAGTTAAATATATCAAGAGTGAAAGCTAGTGACTCTGGTGTCTATGCCTGTGTAGCTACTAACAGCGAAGGGTCAGCGGTTGCCATCACAAGATTGTCTGTAATCACAAACTCTAGTGCAGTTCTACCAAATAACATGCCATCTAACTCTCCGAACAAGAAGGCTTCTTTGGTTTTATTGGTAATATTTATTGTAATCCTGTCGTTAATACTAGGCTTTGTGATATGTTACTTTGTAAAAATGGTTTACAAATTGGCAAAGAAAAACAGCAACACTAATTTTGAATTTAGCCGTTTTGTTGACACACCCAACATACTGCAAGTTCCTGAAAACCCACAACCAATGCCACACTTATAAGACTGTTTTACTAATAACAACAAATGTAATTTTCATGTAACGATCATCGCTAACGTTAATGAAGAATTTGTGGTATTGTTTTATTTAAATATACTGGTATTTGCACATCAACAAACCAGCACAAGACAAAGCTACCTCTTATTCACAGTGTGTGATTTAGTTTTTAATTTAAATGAGCTGGCAGGTAAAGATAGCCACACCAACCCCCACTATTTATATACTCCAATAAACTATGCTAATTGAGCGATTTTCCCAGAAGTCAATATCTCTTGTGTTCAGCTTAACAAGTAGAGTTCTATGTCAGTCAGAAACACTCTTTATAGAGACGTAAGCCACTTTCGACACTATTTTGTAACAATGTAACACGCTAGGTCTAAGAAGAAGGCTTAAAGAAAGCATGGATTCATCATTCCATCTATAGAGGTGATACATTTGTAGTAAATTTAAGGGGAAAAATAACTTACATTAATTGATACAACTTACAATCGACCACACTTAGCAAAGATAAAAAAAGTAGGCATGTATGTTAAAGGGATACTGCAGGGATCAAAACAACTTTAGTTTACTGAAGCCATTTTGGTGTATAAATCATGCCCCTGCAGTCTCACTGCTCAATACTCATTGAGGAGTTAAATTTGTTTTGTTTCTGTAGTCCTAGCTACCTCCCCTGGATGTGACTCATGAAAAAATCCAATCTTAACTTGCTTTAGAGGTTTTTAATCTACTGCTCTGCAAATTGAACTTTAATCACACACTCCTGCAGGGTTTAGAAGGCTATTAACAGAGCATGAGGTAAGAAATTTTTTATTAAACAGACTGTGCAATAAAGGAAGTTTAAACATTAGAATCTATCTTTACAGGAAGTGTTTAGAAAGGCTGTGTAAGTCACATGCAAGGAAGTGTGAATAGGGCTAAATAAGCAAAGTGATTTAACTCCTAAATAGCAGAGAATTGAGTGCTTTATACACCTCAAGCACTCCATGACGCTGAGGTTGTTTTGGTGCCCATAGTATCCCTTTAAATAATTAAATTTATGTGCATTAAAGGTAGGGATTAACCCCTTAAGGACACATGACATGTGTGACATGTCATGATTCCCTTTTATTCCAGAAGTTTGGTCCTTAAGGAGTTAAAGGAATGTGCTGCTAGTTTGTTTTGCCTTTTTAAATACAGATGCAGTGCGAAGCATAACTGTACTGCGCTCATTTGCATGGTTTGTACAAATTACTTTAAAACCAATTGGGGTAAAAATAGACTTTTTTGCCAGTCAAATGCAAGTTGCATGTTCTGCCAGGTGTGCCCAGTTGCCATCCTACAGCTGATGTATTTTCTCAAATACATTTTTGCAAAGCATATCAGTCACATATAGGCATCTGTACATTATGCAGCAGAACACAGGAAATGTTTATACATTATGTTAACAGTTCAGCAGTGTTATTTTAATAACACGTTTGTAGTTACATTATCCTTCTCCTGAGCACAATACATAATACTTCCCAGCATGCACTCCACCCCCTCCTCGCTGAATGACCATTGTTTTAAAACGTAGGAAATTTTATAAGTGGTGCACACATCAGAAAATGGGAGGGAGTTTTGGTGAATACCCAGAATGCACCAGCATAAAGAGTTTCCCAGCGGGTGCATTAAATATCTTTTATTAAGAATATCTTTTTTGTAATTATTAAACAAAGCTAACATAACATTGATGTTATGCTGCAGGCATTAAAGTAGCATTTATCTAAAGTGAAAGATCGGTTAAAGTGACACTCCAGTACCCAAATACACAATAAATAAAAATCGCTGTTTAGTAGATATACCCCAAATGAAAACTTGCATGTATTTAATTATGCGTTTTTTTCATTGGAGTTATATCTAAAATCAGATTGCAAAACCTGCAGTTCTTTTGTCTGCTGCCTTTGCAAGTCCTCCCCTTGATACCCCACCCAGACTTTCTGTGACTGTCCAATCACAGACTTCCCAATGCAGCTCAATGAGAAGTCTTTACAAGGCAGGAGCTCTGGGCAATTGCTGCCTCTTGAGTTTAGCTCCACTGAACTAACAAAACCAGGACGTAAGCGGGCCTGTTGTCTGATTGAAAGCCAAGGGAGAGTAACAAGGTTAATTTATAAAAAGTAAATACAAATACACAAAATTAAGTCCTGCGCTCAGACTCCCACTACTCCTGGGCGGCAGCAATGACCATAGTACACATCAGCCCCAGAACATGTAATAAAAACCAAAGAAAAAAAAGTTACTTGCGCACTCTTCCAAATCCCTATGCATATGTAAATAAATTGAGTTTTTTTAGTACCACTCCAATGGCCATTAGGAGTAAGCCTACCTGCCACGTCAAGGCAAACCTCTTAGGTAGGTCCTACACTAGCAATTAACCTTGCTTTCTTAAGCTTCAGGTAATAATACATCTCTAATTAGACTACTCCTGGGCGGCAGCAATGACCATAATACATAGTGGGAGTCTGAGTGCAGGACTTATTTTTATGTATTTGTAGTTACCTTTTATATCACACAGACATGTTACAATGCTGCCTCCCATTCCATGTTTTCCCTATTAAGGGTTAATAAGCATGTAGGGGTTTTAAAAAATACCTTCTCTGTCTCATTAGACATTTTTTATTGCCTGAGGCTGAAGCAAACCAGATGAATTGTTGGTGTAGGACCCATCTAAGAGGTTTGCTTTGACGTAGCAGGTGGGCTTACATCTAATGGCCATTGGATTGGAACTAAAAACCTCTATTTATTTATATATGCATAGGGACTTGGAATAGTGCACGAGTAACTCTTTTCTTGGTCTTTAATTTATAAAAGTGTCAATTTCTATTGAAATCTGCACTTTTTGCAAAATGAAAAAAAAAAGAAGACAACACACCCTTCACCCAGAAAGCTTCTCAGCAAGATCAAGTGCTTTAGGAGTCTGGAGTGACCCTTTAAATTGCCACACTTATCCCATTTGCCACATTGGGAGAAAGTCACCCAAATAATACACTGCAGTTTATACGCGTAACCAGATACTGTGAAGAATTGACAAAGGACTTGCACATTTTAGACTAAAATAATTTGTTTTGAAAAATTCTCCAGCCTGAGGCAGACGTGGCTCACAAGTATTTGATCATGGACTGCTGTTCTGGGGCTCCCCTGGCCATTAGCTATAGACTTGGTGCAAAGTTCAAAATACTTCCCAAAAAGCCCACTAACTGTAAATGGGACAGAAACTAAAATTGCGCTTTGGGAATAATATCCAATCAATTTGTCCCTGTCTCCAACTCAACAATTTAGAATAAATAGTTTAATTTAACGGAACACTTCCAATGTTATAAATACATATATTTACATTTATTTGTAATGCTAGAATGCTCAATTTTTCATTTAGATTCAAGGAAGCATTGCGAGGCAGGGCACATGGTTAGCAATTCCCACAATGCATTTCTAAGCCTCACACCGGCTTTGTATAAGCGCTCAAAGCCATAAGGACAATTTTAAATTCTGTCTATTTTGAACCTATATGTGCATCGTTTATTCTCTAAAAATCCTGCTTTACTAAATAATCCTCAATGGAGTTAATCTGTAAGGTGATGTCTCTATGTCGCTACTCATCATACATAGATTAAATAATGTTTCTGACGGGCACACAACCTCTTAGAAGAGGTGATGAAGAGGACAATGCACACTTGAATTTAGAAAGTTTAATATTATTTGTAAGCCTCATTAAAACCGAGCTTCATTTAGTCTGTGAATAAATGAATCATTTATGAACATAAATTGCTATCTTAATGTAGATAATGAATGTAATATTTTATGTTACACGTTGAATTATTAAAGTTTTATTTTCGTGAGTGGCCTGTTGTGTTTCTCAACGAAAGTGAAAGATACAGAAGGCCTGATTTGGTCGGCATGGTTCTTAATCAGCAGAACGCAGCATATATTAACAATGTAACCCAATGTGCAGTGCCGTTATTACGTTAACAATATACAGTTGCAAGAAAAAGTATGTGAACCCTTTGGAATGATATGGATTTCTGCACAAATTGGTCATAAAATGTGATCTGATCATCATCTAAGTCACAACAATAGAAAATCACAGTCTGCTTAAACTAATAACACACAAAGAATGAAATGTTGCCATGTTTTTATTGAACACACCATGTAAACATTCACAGTGCAGGTGGAAAAAGTATGGCTGGCATGTCTTTTTTCCATAGTGCATCCTGTTGCCATCTCTTCCCCAGGTAAACAACGCTCACAAACACGGCCATCCACCTGATCTGAAAGAAAATGTGATCAGATTAGGCAACCTTCTTCCGTTGCTGCATGGTCCAGTTCTGATGCCCACATCCCCATTGAAGGCATTTTCGGTGGTGGACAGAAATCATCATGGACAATCTAACCCATACACAGCAACGTTTCATTTCCACCATTAAGTCTTTCATCAATTTGAGCTTAAGTAGATCTTCTGTATAATTGGATCAGACAGGCTAGCCTTCACTCCCCACGTGCATCAATGAGCATGATGCTGGTTCACCGGTTGTCCTTCCTTCCACTACTTTTGGTAGGTACTAACCACTGCATACTGGGAAAGCCCCACAAGACTTGCTCTTTTGGAGATGTTCTGACCCAGACTAGCCATCACTAATTGGCCCTTGTCAAAGTCACTCATATCTTTTCGCTTGCCCATTTTTCCTGCTTCCAACACAAATTCAAGAACTGAATGTTCCCTTGTTGCCTAATATATCCCACACCCTGACAGGTGCTATACTTTCATATATGAAATAGTTGAACCAACACAAAGGTGTTCACTAGACTTGCATATCACCTATTGGTAAGTATGGGTTCACTAAATACCATCTCCAGAGCAAAGCAGGTCACCATGGTATGGCCTTAAAGCAGTTCTCTACAAACACATAATCTGTATGTGCTTTATAAACAAAGAAACGGTTAGGCTACAAAAATACATAAATACTTTAAACAATATGTATTTTAATTCTTTATTGTGAGAATGAACCTCTTTTCACACAAGGCATTTTCTGACGCCCCCCTTCCCCCCCCCCATGCATGATATATATGTCAGCACTATTAGATCACTGATCACATTATAACTTTACTAGTTAAGTTTCGATCACCCTGACAGGCTGACATGTCTATCAACCTGTCAGTGTGTCACAAAAAAGCAGAAGCAAAGTTAAAAGTCTCTGTGGATCGTGATACATGAAGACAGTGCAGTTACCTGCCAATCTGGGGAAGCTATCCAGGAATATCCACTTTATCTCGAATCCAGAGAAGAGTGAAGCTGCAGGCCGCATTAGAAGTGATCTGTGTATTATTTAAGTGTGAGAGCCCCTTTGTCCTTTGATGTAGCAGTTCCTTTAAGTCACTGGTTCCCAAACCAGTCCTCATTATCCAGCAACAGTACGGGATTTAGGTAGCTTGACTTCCTCTATCTCTTTGTTAGGCAAGAATTGTTTTAATGAACAGAGTAACAATCTCATAACTGCTGTTTATTTCCACAATGTTGCCAAAAGCACAAAAAAACTGTTGTACAATATCGGTCCAATAAATAACGGAGGAGATTTCTGTCAGTTCAATATTATTGTACCTGTGATTTTGTCTGCCTCTGCTCCGTCTTCTCCATACAGTGTATCAGCCCTTAATGAAGTCCCCTCCATACAGTGTTTCAGCCCATAATGAAGTCCCCTCCATACAGTGTATCAGCCCTTAATGAAGTCCCCTCCATACAGTGTTTCAGCCCTTAATGAAGTCCCCTACATACAGTGTATCAGCCCTTAATGAAGTCCCCTCCATACAGTGTATCAGCCCTTAATGAAGACCCCTCCATACAGTGTATCAGCCCTTAATGAAGTCCCCTCCATACAGTGTATCAGCCCTTAATGAAGTCCCCTCCATAGTGTATCAGCCCTTAATGAAGTCTCCTCCATACAGTGTATCAGCCCTTAATGAAGTCCCCTCCATACAGTGTATCAGCCCTTAATGAAGTCCCCTCCATACAGTGTATCAGCCCTTAATGAAGTCCCCTCCATACAGTGTATCAGCCCTTAATGAAGTCCCCTCCATACAGTGTATCAGCCCTTAATGAAGTCCCCTCCATACAGTGTATCAGCCCTTAATGAAGTCCCCTCCATACAGTGTATCAGCCCTTAATGAAGTCCCCTCCATACAGTGTATCAGCCCTTAATGAAGTCCCCTCCATACAGTGTATCAGCCCTTAATGAAGTCCCCTCCATACAGTGTATCAGCCCTTAATGAAGTCCCCTCCATACAGTGTATCAGCCCTTAATGAAGTCCCCTCCATACAGTGTATCAGCCCTTAATGAAGTCCCCTCCATACAGTGTATCAGCCCTTAATGAAGTCCCCTCCATACAGTGTATCAGCCCTTAATGAAGTCCCCTCCATACAGTGTATCAGCCCTTAATGAAGTCCCCTCCATACAGTGTATCAGCCCTTAATGAAGTCCCCTCCATACAGTGTATCAGCCCTTAATGAAGTCCCCTCCATACAGTGTATCAGCCCTTAATGAAGTCCCCTCCATACAGTGTTTCAGCCCTTAATGAAGTCCCCTCCATACAGTGTATCAGCCCTTAATGAAGTCCCTCCATACAGTGTATCCCCTCCATACAGTGTATCAGCCCTTAATGAAGTCCCCTCCATACAGTGTATCAGCCCTTAATGAAGTCCCTCCATACAGTGTGAAGCCCCTCCATACAGTGTATCAGCCCTTAATGAAGTCCCCTCCACAGTGTATCAGCCCTTAATGAAGTCCTCCATACAGTGTATCAGCCCTTAATGAAGTCCCCTCCATACAGTGTATCAGCCCTTAATGAAGACCCCTCCACAGTGTATCAGCCCTTAATGAAGTCCCTCCATACAGTGTATCAGCCCTTAATGAAGTCCCCTCCATACAGTGTATCAGCCCTTAATGAAGTCCCCTCCATACAGTGTATCAGCCCTTAATGAAGTCCCCTCCATACAGTGTATCAGCCCTTAATGAAGTCCCCTCCATACAGTGTATCAGCCCTTAATGAAGTCCCCTCCATACAGTGTATCAGCCCTTAATGAAGTCCCCTCCATACAGTGTATCAGCCCTTAATGAAGTCCCCTCCATACAGTGTATCAGCCCTTAATGAAGTCCCCTCCATACAGTGTATCAGCCCTTAATGAAGTCCCCTCCATACAGTGTATCAGCCCTTAATGAAGTCCCCTCCATACAGTGTATCAGCCCTTAATGAAGTCCCCTCCATACAGTGTATCAGCCCTTAATGAAGTCCCCTCCATACAGTGTATCAGCCCTTAATGAAGTCCCTCCATACAGTGTATCAGCCCTTAATGAAGTCCCTCCATACAGTGTATCAGCCCTTAATGAAGTCCCCTCCATACAGTGTATCAGCCCTTAATGAAGTCCCCTCCATACAGTGTATCAGCCCTTAATGAAGTCCCCTCCATACAGTGTATCAGCCCTTAATGAAGTCCCCTCCATACAGTGTATCAGCCCTTAATGAAGTCCCCTCCATACAGTGTATCAGCCCTTAATGAAGTCCCCTCCATACAGTGTATCAGCCCTTAATGAAGTCCCCTCCATACAGTGTATCAGCCCTTAATGAAGTCCCCTCCATACAGTGTATCAGCCCTTAATGAAGTCCCCTCCATACAGTGTTTCAGCCCTTAATGAAGTCCCCTCCATACAGTGTATCAGCCCTTAATGAAGTCCCCTCCATACAGTGTATCAGCCCTTAATGAAGTCCCCTTCTGAGGAACTGACTCTGCTGGGTTTTGAACCCTGGTTTATATGCTGCTAAATCTCTTCCTTAAGTAGGTATAGGTCTGCAACTTATATGTAGTGTAAATCATTAGTCAGGAACACAAACGTGTAAGGCGCATTATGCTGGTTTAATAACATTATCTAGCATTATACATTGTACAGGTATTTGAGAAGTCCATCGTTTTTTACTTACCCTGTATATTACAGTGTGAATGTGTGTTTTACACAGAAAGGATAAATATACAGTACAATATACTCACACAGTTTTAGATCCTGTGATATATACAGTGTACGGTTTATACACTAAGCAATGAATTGTAGCCCAATTGCACAATTCAGGCCAAAGTAGCAGAGTAGGAACGATTCCCCCCACTCCACAAGTAAATTTATCATTCAGTTTTGAATTCTCCCAAATTCAAAAAACACCTCGGAGTTCAAAACAATTACTATTTCTGAAAAACAATATTTTATCTATTTGACAACACCATTTGCATAATTTCTGGTTTAATGCTCCTGCTTATTACCAAGCTAAATGGTTCTTTATATTAGATTTTTGTAATTCAGATTATTGTAGAAGTGGCGCAGTGTATGCGAAGAGTTAACACCATGATACTCAGGATTCTGATGGGCTGATTGTCTTTAAAACACCGCTCTCTGATTAGCTCCGACTGTTCAGAAGAGAGCTCTTATTTATTACACACATAGGCAGTGAAGTAGCTTTGTATCATCACACCTCGAAAAGTTGTAAAGGGTTAAATGGAGGGGGAGTGGCAGGACTGGTTACTTCCAGGGATGACATCACTTCCCCAATGTATTGCAATTCCCTGATATGATGATGTCAGGTCCCATGTGTGATGATGTAATGAATGAAAAACATAACGCAAACTCCCTGTTTTATTCCATTGTACAAAGTGGTGATGGTGGTGGTGGGGTTATAAGAAAAAAATCTTCCAAATAAAACCCTTTTAAAAGCCAATGTTAGAGATTATATGCCACAATTTACTATTGTCACATGGAAACTCTTAA